CTTTAATGATTCTGTTAGCTCTTTCAGTCTAATGTTGAACTGAAAGTTAAAATTTGGAAAAGATACTCAGTTTGCTGAGTAGAAACTTCAGTTTCAATGCCACTTTTGCAAGGAAATGGAGCTGTCTTTATCTTCTATTTGTGATCTTATTGTGTTCTGTTTATAGGAGTAATTATACATACATACATACATACATATATATATAGTAATTACCTTCCTCAAAACCTGTTTTCTTCTTCTGAAGCTGTAAATACAGTTGAATATATGTCTTCTATTTATGCATGAAATGACAAAATGCAATTCTTACTGTAGCTATGTGGACAGGGTATCATGGGCTGTTGCTCACACTTGCTGAAAATCTTGACATACACCCTGACATTTTCTGAAACCCTGATTTTCTCCACAGAGCTTCTGAAGTCCCTCCCAGTGTTGTAATTCCAAAGTTATCATTAGTATCAAAGGAGTATCTCACTTCCTCCTAACTTATGCTTATTCCTTTGTGTGCAGTTTTGCCTGTGGCCACCAATTTAAGGTAATGTCAGAAAACACTCAGGGGACTGTAATAGACGGACTAAGGACCAGCAAAAAGTCAGCAAGTTTACATTTGGCTAAACCTAAAAGCAACATGGAAAACTTTTTCAGCTGTTTTAGTAACAGGAAAAATAACAAATACAATACATCCTTGAAAGTCATGTGAAGATATTGAAATAAATGTAGGAAAAACATTTACTTAGTTCCTTTTCTTTCTTGTTTCCCCTTCCTATTTTTCCTAATTGGCACTAAGCTGCTTTCTGAATTGTTGCTGTCAAGTTCCAACTACTGTGTGTGGCCTATATAAGCTGAGCAAGTGGTTCACAGAAGGGTGAAACTGACATAATTTTAACTGACATAAGCAGTTTGAGCTTTTTGCTGCTAAAGCCTCTAGGCGATCTTTGCAATCTAGTTGATGATTGTGACATCTGAGACAAAAAAGAAATCTGTTATTTCTCCTGAAAATTATAGTCAAATTGAGCTTCTGAATACTAACTTCAGCAAAGATTGGGAAGTTAATTTTTGTAGTTTTATAACTGGTTTGAAATCCAGATGTCTTATTCACGTAACAGTTAATAGGATTTGGACTGCCAGAGACCTCAAATCCTTCAGGACTTATCAGAACGTATCTCAACTTCTTAAATTAAAATGGAAGAAAAGATCTTACCAAATCAGGACATAGCATTGCCAGTGTCACGATGCCATGAAGTGGCATTGGCAGTGGCACTGCTTGAAGCGAACACATGAAAAACTTTAGGTATTGCTTATTGCTTATTTAAAGACTCTTCCATTCCAGTGTGGAGACCATAGTAAGAAAACTTGGGTGAAAAAGTCCTTCAAAAGTTTATTCAGTCCAGTGACTGCTACCATTTATATTTATTTTTTTTTTCATTATCAACTACTGCCGTTTAATTTTAGGGGTTTCTCTTCTATGATAAATCAGAAAAAGGTAGATCATGAAGTCTAATATATAGGAAAAAAATAAAGGAAACTCTTGATAAGTGAAAGTAAAGGATTATTATGTTTAAGGTGTTGTCAATATTTTTTTTCAAGTGGCCTGTGTTGCAAATAAATAAAGTTTAACCTTAAAAAGAGTCTTGAAAAGGTTGTATAAATAAATAATCTGATACACACCATTTCAGAATGAGTAATTTGTTAAATATGAGTTTATTTATTAATCTTTAACTGAAAAATCATATATCACCAAGCTTCCATTTTTCTACTATTTTTTACAGTCCTGCTACATTTTAGCTTTTTGTTTCTGTCTCATAATAAATATTTACATTACATTAATAGATTGTAATGTTTGGAATGCTTTTCTGAAAAAAATAAAAATTTAGTATACATAGTTTGTTTGAGTAGGAAGTTAAACCTTTGACATTTTAGATCATTAATTTTTTCATTTTGTATTTTGATCATGTGCATTTGTCAAAAGTTTCTTCTGTCCAGGAAGATAGAGGTAATGTATGAGGAAGGCCTATCTTTTAGCTTAATTTTATGAATAAATCTTAACTAATAAGCAGTGCTACAGATTGATCTGTGCTAGGAAGTGAAGTCTGCACAGGTTTTTATGTCTGTCAGAATGGTGACGATAGACACGCCACTTGAGAAGAAAATTGGAGAAAGACATCCTGGACTATCCACTGTGCATATTTTCCCTAAGACTAAATACCAAGACTACACAGATTTTTCTTCAAACACTGGAGTTACTTTTTTTTTCCAAAATTGGAAAGGCCTTGAGTGAAAAAAAAAAAAATTATGAAGCATGGTGAGAGCACTCTAACATTAGTTCTATATAAAAAATCCATTATCTTAAGTGCTTCAGTGTAGCATAGTTTATAATAGTTCTCAATACACAGCTAACATCAAAGTAATGAATCAAGAGCCTGTTACTGCAATCTTATTGACAGTAGACCTCAGTAACTCTACAGACAAATATGGATCTTTTACTGGAAGTTTGGCAGTGAATTTAAAGCTTGATGGATGCATATGATAGCTTTGGACAGCTAGAATCCTCATAATCCAAAGATTAAACTATTTTGTTCGCTGTTAGGAACCTTCAAAGACTAATTTATCTTAGGTCTAGACTAGAAACAGTAAAGTCTGTGCAGATGAAACTCTGTGTCTATCTTAATATACTTCAGTCAAAATTTTAGAAAAGCACATAAATAATGTAGTTGAATGCTTGATCTTGAAAAGTGGTGAAGTCCTGTGAACTATTACATGTATTATTGAGTATAGCTGTCATTCTCAGATCACTCATTTTTCACTGGGTTTCAGGAGGTTGTGGTGAAGTGCGTGCAAATTTCAGGATGCCAAGTACCATTTTCTCTGGAGTTCTTGACAGAGGTAGTGGTAAGAAGATGCAGGTAAACATCATATTTTAGGAGACTTTTCAGAGATACAAGACTGACTTGCTGCAATACAGTTTCAGCAGTTGGCCAGTGACAGTTGTTATTTATATGGCAGATGTAGATTTTTTGTGATGTGTTTCCTTGGGAATGCAGTCTATCAGAATTCATAGTAGCTTTGAATAATGCAATTTTTTTTTTTTTTTTATAGAACACCCTCTCATAAAAATAAAAGCTGGCTTTTGGATTGTATAAATTTTTGCTGCATGCATCAGATTTTTTCATGAAACTACTTCAATTTACAGTTCTTTGTAAAAATATTTTGATTAGAAAATAACAAAGATTTTTTTTTTTTTCTCAAAGCCAAGTATTCTCCTGTATCAAAGGAATTAAAAAACTTTCATTTGTTTGACTTGTACTGAACAAATGCCTGTGTTAACCTATCATGACTAATACAGTGAACAGGGGAAAGTTTGAAAAGATAGAGGTAGCATTTTCTGTAGTCCTAAAAACATATAGCAGTATATGCTGTAGCTTGTAATAGATCATCATTTTCAGCTTTTTGTAATACAAATCAGTATTTTTATTTTATTCCAATTATTCTGATATCTTTATTTTATATGTAAGACTTTATCTGTAATGTTTCTGATATATGTGAATGAAGAAGTGACTTTTTTATTATCCAGAGAAATACCTTATTCTGTTAAACCTGCTGAAACAGTACAAAATAAGCCAGGTATCATAATGTTTGCTTCTACCTTTGATAGCTATTTGCAAAAAAACTTTAATTAGTTTCCTTAATTCAAGAAATATTAGATCTTTGATCAGCAATGAGTAGAAGACGTGTCTAACTCCTCGTTCATTAGAGTCTTGGGTGATTTTTGTTTTCTTGCTAGTGTTTGTAGAATATTTTGTTACTTTTATAATAAAATTATGTTGTAAGTGAAAGTGTTCTCTCTTCTAATATCTTTTGATGTTTCTTGGCCTTTTCAAAATTTTTATATAACTTGACTTGTAAATTTAGTGTCATTACCATCATCTAAATGCTACCGTGACTGAGTAATGAATTAAGGGCGTGCATTCACTAATTGAACTTACATGGTATAATGGGGCATAATTAATATTGATATATTGATATAATGCTTTAAAACATTTTGAGGATATGCTTGTATTGAGTAATTAATCCTCTCAACAAGCAGGTTAGAGGCTGGCATGGTTAAGTGTGCTCTGTTCATGACCACTTTAGCTCTCTAGCTCTTCTCTAAGGGAAATTAAAGTTGTACTACTTCAATGAATGGAGTGGTGTTCCATTAAAAACTTTCAAAGAAGTTTGAGACCCAAACCGATTTCTCTCCTCCCCTACACACATTTTTTGGTTTTTTGTAGGTGGAGGAGTGTCATCTTTAAGATGATAACTTGTTCAGACAACCTCTTTCAAATATCTAATATTTACAAATGGTCATTAGTTTCTGCAATAAAAAAGAAGAAAATGTGTCCATTCATATTTTCCCAATGTCATTGCTTAGTTATTTTAATATTTTCTGTTTCTTTTAATAAATATTGACTTAATTTACTTTCTAGAACCTGAACTAATGTGAAACTAAGAAGAAAATATTTTTTTTTTATATACTTGAGGCTTTAATTTACTGTCAGAGAACAGTTAATTATTGCATTCTTTTAAACTGCTATTTCATCACCTAAATGAAAACTGTACATAAAGGGCTTTCTACTGTCTGCACCCATAATTATGTTGTATGAATATCTTTGCAATATTGACAAGGTAGAATTAAATACAAATTTCTTTCACTCCATTCAAAGAAAAGCAGCAAGATATGTAAGACACTTTGCTTGAAAATAGATCTGTTAGGAACTCCACTGAAAGACTGTTAAACCAAGAAGTGAGTTTGAAATTAACTTTGAAAATGATGGCATCTATTAAAAATTGAAATGTTTTGCACAAGAAGATTCCATAACCTAATTTCACCTTATTTGTATAAGGAATCATGTTTAAAAAAACAAAAAACCAAAGCCAAATAGTCAGTTATAATTGTTAGACAAGTATTATTATTTCATTCTGCAAATTTTAACTGTATTTTATTTTATTCTTTCTTTTGACAGTATTACCTAGTCATACATGTGGCAACCCAGGAGAAATACCTAAAGGAGTACTTCATGGAACCAGATTCAACATTGGAGATAAAATCCGATATAGCTGTATCTCTGGTTACATCCTAGAAGGCCATGCCATGTTGACATGTATTGTGAGTCCTGGGAATGGTGCATCGTGGGATTTTCCAGTTCCATTTTGCAGAGGTAAAAATGAAGACATGAAATATCTATTAAATACAAACAGCAGATTAAATAAATTTATTTTGAGGGTTTTTTCCCCTAAATTAACGTGTACTAATCTCCAGTCTAAAAATTGACACCATTTAAAACTCTAATAACTCAAGCAGTGACACTCCGGAGTTTGCATTCAGAGACAGATTATGATCTATTTATGTTGTTTCCTTTCTGTTTACGTGGGACACAGCTATATCAATATCATGACAGGACCTGGCCCCTGGCCAGGAAAAAAGCTTCAGTGATGTAAACTTAGAAGGGCGGTCCAGTCCCTTTGAATCCTACTCCTGCTCAGAGCATAGATAACTTCAAAGTTGTGTCAGATTGCTCAGGGTTTTGCCTAGTTGAAAATTTAATATCTCCATGGATGAAGATTGTAATGTCTGTCTGGAAACCTGTTATGGTTCCCAGCTGCCCTTATTCTCACATCCAATTTAAGTTAGAATTTTACAGATTATCTCTACTTCCTCTTTTCTGGTTGTGGGTCTATGAAAAGATTCTGTTTCCATTCTGGTTCTTTCCTAAACTAAACAGTGCTATAAGATTTTCACATACCCTCCACTTGTACAGTCTGAAAAATCCTTTTCCTTCAGCCTCATGTCTCATACAACGTGTTCTTCACCATCTTGAAGTTTTTGTGGCCGTTCTCTGGGCTTGTTCTGTCACTGTCAGTGTCTCTTTTGTGCTGAAGGACCCTGGGTTGGACAAAGCATTCTAGATGGGGCCTCCTAAGTGCCAGGCAGATGAACTCTCTTCAGCTGCTGGCTGTGTTCTTGCTCATGCAACCCATATGAGGTAAGCTTTCAATACTGCAGAGGTGCACCATACACTCAGCTTGTGTTTCACCAGGATTTCAGGTCCTTTTGTCAGAGCTGCCACCTAGCAAAAAATTCCTTCCTACATGGAATGATCCTGTTCCAGGTATAGGACTTTTCCAGGTATATTGCATTTCTGTTTTGATATTTCGTGAGGTTTCTGTTATTTTCCCAGCTCGTTAAATCCTGCCATAAGAGTCTGTCTGAATGGCAGTTGTACCCTTCAAGACATCATCCCATGACATCCTGCTTATCACTTCATAAATTAGTTGAAATCTACTTTGCTGAAGTCCAAGGTGTTGATTCTATAAATTGCTTTTCTCACTTCCCTCAAGATATTCAGCTAATGGTAATTCTGACTACAGCTGCTCTTAAATATGACTTGTCTGCATGTTCTTTGCTCCTACATCAGGTTGGTCTGTTCTGTACATGCATTAAAAAAAAAAAAAGTGAAATCAGATATCTAGTGCATTGCTTGCCCTCTGCTATGCTGCCATCCCCAGAGATGCTGGGGTGGTTGAAGTCTCTGATGATAACCAGACCCTGTGTCTGGGAAACTTCTGGTACTTTAACAGTTTTGATCACTGCTCAATCAGATAACCTATAGCAGATATTCAATAATGACCTCCCTCTTGACTTTCCCTTCTCATTCTAGCCCACAGGAGCTTAAGAGCTCATTGCCTATAGTGCAGTAGAGAGAGTTCTGTTAATTCAAAATCCTACTTTGTGTAAGGTGCAGCCTTCTTTTTTTCCTGCATTAGAAAATCATAGATAGAGTCTGAGTCTATCCATTGGAGCCCTCCATGCAAGTGAACTCTCTCACCATAGTTCTGTGACCATATGTGCACTTTCAGTTTGCCCAGTTTGTCCTGTGGAGCATGTTTTTTCATACAGGCACGTCAAATGGCTTCGTGTTGCTTTCTGAGAGGGAGAGAAATATTCACTGCCTTGTCCCCATGTCTTCTTCCCTGGGTCTCTTCTCCCATTTGCCTTTAGGTTTTGGCATTTGTCCATGACAAACTTAGTTTAGAGCTCTCTTCACTAGGTCAGCAGAGCTCTTGCCCTGTTCAGCCAGGCAAATCCTATATCTCCCCTCCTGTCCTCATTCCTTGAAGGAGACCCTGTGGTCAAAGAGATCAAAGCCCTGTTACCCAGCACCAGCTCCTTAGTAAAGTGCCATTCTGCTGGAATCTGATACTCCTACCTGAACTTTTCCCCTTGGATTGAGAACTTCTCTGGCCTCCTATTCTCTTCAGCCTTTTCTCATGCCCTGTGGATGCCCTTTCCTGCTACTCCTACCACTCTCTTGGCAGTATTATTGATGCCCATGTGGGTGAGCAACAAAAGGAAGTTGTTTCATCCAGTAATGGTTACTTGTGAGTAAGGGCTCTTGTATCGTAATTCCTCACTGCAGATAAATATTTTATACTTTTCCGTGCTCCAAAAAAAATACAAGGGTTGATAATCAAAAAACTTAAGAAATATTTTGGCCAGGTCTGTTTTTTGTATTTGATTTCATTCAGTACTCAACAGATAATTCTTCTACTAGTGCTTCAAAACAGAAAGAAACAAAAATTTTCTAACCATTCAGTGTCCGATTTTAAATGTTTGGTTTTGGCTTTTTTTGTCATTTTACTAAGGGGTAGCAAACAGGTCTCAGAAAAATATACATAAATTCATGGTATCATCAGTGTCTACTAAATATTTCTTATATTTCTCCAGATACTGCCTGTTCTGGCTGTATTTTCCTGCATACAAATATCTTTCACAAGACTGAAATTCTGTCCATGATTTGTAACTCACGAATTTAACCTTTTAATAAAAAATCAGGTGTGCTCCTAAACCTCCTGCGGACCTCACATGAAATCCAAACAATTCTGTGTACATTCTGAGAAGAAATGAGGATGATAACAGAAAGGTTATTTAACAGTTAATAACTTGCATGAGCCGAGCCATTGCCTCAGTGAATTTTTAGAATTCATGTGGAATTTGGATTTGATGAGATATTTTAGGCATTCCTTGTTTTATTTTATTTTATCAGTCTGGAACATATGCCATGAGGTAGTCCTTTCCATTCACTATAACTTCAAGCAAGACATGTTCCCCAATTGTTTCTCGAAGAACCTTGATCTTTTCCATGAAAGCATCTTTTGTTACAGCTCTGTTTCCAGATGGTATTCTTCTTTCTTGTCATCATAAACTAATTTCATGACACACATTCAAGATAATATAACAGAGTTAAATAAAGCTCTGAGGCTTATATACTAAAAAATCATAACAGCCTTGTTCTCTGTGGTACATTTCCCTACTTTTGCTGATGCCGAAAAAATACTACTTTCTGCAATTTTGTTGCATAATAACTCCAGAAACATTAAGAAGCTGGTGTCCCATAATTTAAGCATTGTCTAACCATATAACTGCTAGTTTTGCTAGAAGAATTCCTAGTGGATGACTAATTCTCCTGGAAGATGTAGACAGCGTTGACTCTTGTATTTTCCATTTTCTTTCTCTGGCTGCTGCTCAGTTTCAGAAGTTCCCCTTTTAAACTACAGCCATGGTGATGGAGTTGGACTGTGCTGGAAACTCAATAATGGCTTTGAATGAACAGAAATCAAATGAGTTAATGCCATTTTTTGAAAGTTTAGAGAATTTTACTGTCAAGATATTTTTTTCCTGTTTTCTTTCAATAAAATACCTGGATCCCCCAAATAGGAAACAAGCCCCAGAGAAAAGTTCAAAGGTAAATCCTGAAGGATGAGATAATTATTAAAACCTAGTCATTTTTCCACAAGGTAAATAAGAGCAACTTTGGAATCTTCAACTATTAAAAGAAAGCTGGGAAGTTTAACATGAGTTTCTGAAAAAAAAATATAGGTAAATTCAAATATACTTAGAAATTAGACTTTTGTATATTTACAAAAAATATTCATAGAGAATCAATGGCCAACCTATATTCTGTTAATATTTTTTTCCTGGTGAATTAAAAAGTTCGTTGTTGTCTCACTCTCAGCTGCCATAATAGTGTCATCCAAAACATTTGCCTTCTTTGTCTTGAGGTTGAAATACTGTGCAGTACAATTCTGAAACATTTTGAAAGTTAATTTCATTCTCTTCAGTAGTTCCACTAATAGCTGATTTATGATATGTGACTACTTCTAAATGAACTTTGTATAATTAGGTTCTCAATTCTCAGTAATTTTGAGAATCCCTAGTTGATTATAGTTGCATGAGTCAAGATTTTTATGAAGCTAACATTAGGAATACAAATTGGATTAGTGATATTACAATGGTAAGCTTTTTCTAACAATAAAAATAGCTGTGAAGGGAGAAATATGTAATATATTATCATTAAAAACACATCCATCTATTGGAGGGAAAAATAAAGAAAATAAAGTAAAAAAGATCTTATGTCAGAAAAGTCCAAAAGGAACAAGTAATAATTAATCAGGTTTCAGATTTAAGAACTATTGCTGGAGAAATATTGTGGTTAAAATACATATTTTTACACACATACATACACACACACACACACACATGTATTTATATATATAGAATCAAAAAAGGTATTCCTTAACAAAGGATGAAAGAAAAAAGAGTCTGTGGTTCACTTAGAGTAAAATAAACTGAATAGAGAGATGCTGAGATGACATTTTTGAAAAAAAAAATATAGCAAAGAGAAAATGATGGTTTTGTTGTTATCCATACCTTCTGAAGTAGTAAGCAATTCTGCTATAATTTCTTCTCAACTTCTGATGTTTAGACAGATACTGTTTTATAAGTTTGAGGAGAAAAGGATGTCCTGATCCCATATTTATGCATGTTTACAATTAAAATTTAAAAAGGAAAATAAAAAAAAAAAATCCCATAATTTTGCTTACTCATGTTACATTACATGATAAAGTGAGAATATTTTCCCTATATCCACCCTATAGTCTCCAATTTGTAGAGTGACATAGTGCATTCCTGTCTGAGCAATTTTCCAGAATAATCTGATTTGGTGCAGTATTTACACTGAGATGAAATTTGGAAAAAGCCCTCATTGTAACTCATCAAATAACAACTCAGAGAAGTGTTTCAGGAAAAGCAGATAGGAAAGCAGATACTGTGTAATTTCTTACATGGTAGTGAAGGACTAGTAGACCACACCTGAGAGAT